GAAACTTCAACTTTCCTGCTCCTCTGATGCTGCCTGGCCTGCTGTGTCCCTCCAGCTCCACACTGTGTTATCTCTGGCTCCAGCATCATCAGTTCTTACTATCTCTATTCTTAATTAAAGGATGTTTTTGCAGTTAATCACTTACAGGCTGTTAATAAATCACTTTGAATGAAGGCACAAACATTTTGGATCACCAAGCCTCCCTTTTGGTGTTTGGAATGTAATATGTTTACCAGTTGGCAGAATTTATTGAATTTGAAAAGTTGGAGAATCACATTTGCAAGGTGAAAGGAAATTAATTTGATACAGGGCATGATATGAACCATTAGAAAATTACATGAACCATTGGGAAGATGCTTCCTCCATGACATGTCTACGTTCTTAACCCAGTAGCCTATCTATCAGTTTACGTTTTTCTTGTTGGGATGTGGGCATTGATTGGAAAGATAGCATTTACTGCTCATGTCTATTTGTCTGAGAAGGTGGTGATGGCGGGCTGCTTTAGTCAAGCATTTCATGGATAAAATTGTGTAACTTCAAAGGCAATTACAAGGGTAATTCAGAGTCAAAAATAAAAAGAGAAATTGCTGGAAAAAGCACAGCAAGTCTGGCAGCATCTCAGGAGAGAAAGCAGGTCTGGCAGCATCATTGGAGAGAAAGCAGGTCTGGCAGCATCGTAGGAGAGAAAGCAGAGTTAATGTTCTGAAGAAGGGTCACTGGACCCAAAACATTAACTCTGTTTTCTCCTTCACAGATGCTGCCAGACCTGCTGAGCTTTTCCAGCAACTTTGTTTTTGTTCCTGGTTATTGTAACATACTACAGCATGGTACACTCACCAAGCAAGCATCTGCTTTGCCTTTTTGGTCACTAGCGCAGATCATGTCCTTGGTTACTTGAGGTTTATGATTATAATATTGTTTGCTGTTGCACATTTTACGATCGATCACATATAACATCACTTCTTGAAGAGTGTCAGATGAAGTTGTTGAACTTGTTTGTCCCCATCCTGCCACTACACAGCGGGTTCCGGGTTTTATATCCTTATCCTTAACTTTTGGTAGGTTGAGCAGTTTCACATATTTGTTGATCTTTGCTTCACTGGAGAGCTGGGGCACAAGAAGAATAAATTAATATTTTTATTCACCAAACTATGAACAAAATCTTATTATTCTAAAGGAGAACTGTAATTTTCAGCTTCCAGTAAAGCTGGACCACAAATGTTTCTCCTCTTGGATTAAATATTCTGTTTTGGATCAGGCAATGGTTCCACAGACGCTGACGATCCTCTGGGATGGGTTTCCAGATGTTTTTCATCACCTACATCATTGTTATCTGGAATTTTACAGCACATCCCAATCCAATTCCCATCCAATATTTGCCCTACCAGAATTAATGCAGGGCACTCTGGAGCAAGCTTTTGCTACTGGCAGGTCAAGGATGCTTGAAAGAATTTGTAGAATGTTGGGATGGCACGGTGGCTCAGTGGTTAGCACTGCTGCCTTACAGCTCTAGGGACTGGGGTTTGATTCCAGCCTCGGGCGACTGTCTGTGTGGGTTTCTTTTGGGTGCTCCAGTTTCCTCCCACCCTCCAAAGATGTGCAGGTTAGGTGGATTGGCCATGCTAAATTGCCCATAGTGTCCAGGGGTGTGTAAATTAAGAGGGGAAAGGGTAGGATGGGTGGGACTAGGTGGCATGTCCTTTGGAAGGGTGGTGTGGACTTGTTGGGCTGATTAGCCTGTTTCTACACTGTGGGATTCTATGAATGCCAAGCAATGTCTCAACTGAAGTAATTAATTTGACCTTGAGGTTTTCCTCTAAGACCATAAAACATTGGAGTAGAAGTAGGCCATTCAATGAGATCATGCCTGATCTGATAATCCTCAACTATACTAAGATGGCAGTGGAGTTTGGGGGTGGGGTGGGAGGGGAGTGGTGCCGAGCCTCAGGCTCGTCCGCTCCCGTCAACTTTCTTTCTCTTTGCTTTTCTATTTACTTTTGCTCTTTTTCTTTCTTTGTTCTTAGGTTGCTTTTCCTTTAATCCTGGAGAGTGGTGGGTGAAGCATGAGGCCTCTGGTGGCAGCAGCAGTGGTAGCAATGTCAGGACAAGCGGGATGTGGCTCTACCCAGACTGGGGTCTCCTGGCAACCAAGGAACAGGCCCTGGGCTGAGTCACCTGGCCTGGACTCACAGGCTAGTTTGGGGCGCCAGGTCCGTGGCTAGGCCAGTGCACCTGAAGGAGGAGAAAGGTGGTCCTGGCTCAACGTAGTGGTCTCCCTGTGTGGCAGTCTTCTGGTGTGGTGGTCTTGTCCTGGTGTGGATGTCTCCTGCCTGTGTGGCGGTCTCTTTGTCTTCGGTGTCCAGGTATTCCAGCAACCCGCCAGGCGATCTCATCCAGGAGTGGCAGTCTTGGCCTGGTATGGTCGTCTTCTTCGGCAGAAGGCTTCCAGCCTAATATTCCAACGGCCCAGAATGGCGGTTTCATCCCCGTTGTGTCTTCATGCTATTCAATCTTTCCTAAATTGCCATTCCCCAAGCCCAGGAGCCATTAACTGAACTGTGAAAAATTTTGTCTTAACTTTACATTTTTTTATTGTTATGTATAACTCTGTCTTTGATGTAGGTGCTGTGGTGGAGTGACATATAAAACTTTTCACTATTTTTTATGTAAAAGCACACATGATAAATTTTGAGTCTATTGTATCCTATTGTATTGTAGTATATTGTATTCTGCATAAAATGCTGGTTAACAAAGATTGTTAATGGAAAAGGAACGTCAGTGTCAGTTAGGCAAACATTTCACTTAAGGAAAGGAAACTTCAAGTTATAGCAAATACTGGTTTGTCATGTTGGAGGGTGATGTAGAGTGATGCTTCCAAGTGGTCAATGCTACAGTCACTTCCTTTTTTGTGTACGTAAGTGACTTGGATGATTTAATTTATTTCAAAATTTGCAGATGATGCCAAGCGTGGAGATACTGTAGCCAATTATGATGATTCCAGTACCCATACTGATTGTTGACAACAGGATGTAGGTAGGTGAGCAGAATACATAGACAAGTGGCATACAGAGAAATCGGAGGTGATACATTTTAGGATAAGGATTAGGAAAGTCAAATATAGATTTAAGGGCACAATATCAAAGAGTGTACATGGACAGAGGAGCCTGAGGGAACATGCTTTTGAAGGTGGCCGGTCATATTGAGCGATGATTTGACAAAGCAGATGGAATCTTGGGCATAAATTGAGTGATTGGGTACAAATGGAAGGTGTGATGAACCTTTATAAGGCCATTCCTATGACTGCCATGTCCATTCCTATCAACCATATTTTAGTGACGGCATGGAGTCCTTGAATGGGAGCAGAGGAGATTTACTGGAATGACCTCAGGAGAGGGTCAAAATGGATCATCGGCTCTGTACCTCCAGCTAAGGTGCAAACTTACATGTGGATTTTACGATCATTCATGATAGGGATGTTTGTAGAAGTGATATTTTTCTTACTAATTGCTCTACAACAGCATAAATTATTTAATGTAATAGGAATACAGAGCTTTGAGCTGGTTGGTTGGCTGTTGGAATATTTAGCTCTATCCACTATTTAGAATACACATGCTCCTGTTTTGTAACTTCACCAACTTGGCATCTTATTTTGCTGCTCCTGGAGTACTTTTTTACATGCCTCATTGAACCAGATTCTGTTCACTCTTGGTGCGAAAAGAAAACTGTCTGATTATTGTCCAACAACCAGTGCTGAAAACCAACAGGGTCAAGATGTAAACAGGATCAAACCCAACTGTGACGAGTACTTTAACTGACAAAACTACTAGCAGACCTCAATAAATATTTTCCATAAATTTTACTCAAAGAGATTGAAAACACAAAGCTGTTACTTTTTGTGGAATTAAGCATGGCTGATTTTCTAAATTAAATAGTTTTAAACACTACAAACAAACCAGAATTAAAGAATTAAAATTCATACTTGGAGTAGCATGATGTCATTGTCTGGAGTTTTCATGGTAAACTTTGGATGGGGGTCCTGCTTTTTGACCTGAAATTTTTGCTGACTTTTCTCATTCTTTGACAGATCATGTGCTCCAAGAACGACTTGAACATACCCTTTGCTGCATTTCATCAGAAAGGTAGACAATTAGTGTTTGTTTCCATAAGAAAAGGCAATTTTCAAACATTCAGGAAGAAAGAACAATCAATGTTGGAAACAGTATCAGAATATCAAGCTGAGCAATACTAAGCAAATCTTGTTGCACACAATTTCTTTCATCCATAGATCTATTGCCAAAAACAGAAATTCCTGGAATTAACAGCAGTTTAGTCAGCTGGACTTTAATTGAAATGCTTGATCAGATGCTGACTGACCTATTGTGGACTTCCAAAATTTTCTGCTTTTACTTCAAATATCTAAATAGTAGTGATTTTTTTCTTTTGATCTCTATAAATATTATAGTTATTTAAAAAGAAAATGCAATCAGATTCATGTGACTTTTAACTAGAGGTTTGGAATAAAATGAAACCGATTTGTAGAATATTCACTCTAGAAAATTTAAATGAGTGTAAAATTTGTTTGGAGGTCACATCCCAGCCAGCGATGTTATAAAGTTTGTAAGGTCAAGTGGTTTGTTTCTTGGTTTCTGTGCCGCCGGTGTACTCGAACACCATTAGGGGACAGGAGAGCTCCCTTAAAGCTAGCACCAGAATGCCAATCAATTCCTGAGCGTCACTCTGATGAATGCCGGTTTTTCTTCTATGATCTGGAGCATCAAATGTGATTGTTATGAAGATGTATAAGCCAAAATTGCCTTCTTGAATCGCTGCAGCCCATTTGTAGGCTCACAATACTTTTAAGGAGGGAATTCCTGGATTTTGACCCAGTGACAGTGAAAGAATCGCAACATAATTCCAAGTGTGGAATGGTGTGTATCTTGGATTGGCGGTGTATCTGCTGCTCTTCTCCTTCTAGGTGGTAGTGGTAACAGATTGAGAGGTGCTGTGTAAGGATCCTTGAAAAGAACACTTTGCGATGGCAAATGCTGTGGTCACAACAGCCACAATTTCCATTTACAAGGAACAAACATGGAGACATCTAGTTTGCTTTTGGAAAGAGGTCACATGACCCTGTTTGTGGCTGTAATAAAGCTACTGAATTTTGGACAAATTCTGGGATAACTTGCCTGAGGAGCAACAGCGCTATCCTCCCTTTCTTTTTCTATAAAACTCCTCTCAAAGTGTGTGAGTTAAAAACCTACTGGAAAGCTTCAACACTACTCACTAATGATACTTCAAGAAGATTTTGGTATCTATTCTGTTTCCAGAAAAGAGGATTCAACAACCACAATGAAATATCCGCTCAGGCACAGCTTTAGGTGATCACACTCCATTATTACTCTTACATATGTTGGGATATTGGCAGCTTGGCTTTGCCAAGTTATGAGATGATGTTCTGAACAATTGAGGGGTATAGACAGCATTGGGGGTAGGTATCTTTTCAATATGATGCGGGATTTCAAGACTAGGGACATATTTTTAAGGTGAGAGGAGAGAGATTTAAATAAGACATGGGGGGCAAATTTTTTTAAACAGGGCATGGTTGGCGTGTGGAATGAACTTCCTGAGGAAGTGGCGGATGCAGGCACAGTTAGAATGTTTTAAAGACACTTAGACAAGTACATGAATAGGAAAGGTTTGGAGGGATATGGGCCAGGAGCAGGCAGGTGGGACTAGTTTAGTTTGGGATTATGGTCAGTATGGACTGGTTGGTCTGAAGAGTCTGCTTCCGTGCTGAATGACTCTATGACTCTATAACTCTCTATGTTCATAACTAGAAAAATACATGACTTTTTGCCATCTAACCACCAATTCATCCATAAAAGTAAATGATTCAATATAACTTATTTTAATCATATCAAAGATTTTGCCAACTGGATTATGAACTAATAATACGATACACCAATAACAGTGTGGTTATAGTGATTGAGAGCAATTATTTGATGGGGGTTAGGTGTGGATTATACAAATGAGTTGATAATTATAAATATATAATATATAAAATATTACGCATACACATGTGCACCCACTATAACTTACCATTCATGCTTACAGTGTGCTGCAGTCAGTACCCATCTATTTCTGATCAAAACCCCTCCACAATAATGTTTATAGTGCTCTTTGTGTTTACATTGGATAGATGCCATATAGGGTTTTGAATGCGGTTTAACTTCATGGCCTCCAATAATTTCCGCCCCATGATCTGTATAAAACAAAAGATGATTTTGAAAGCCTATTTCATCAGTTGAAACCAGAATTGCTACTTACATCCATGAATATTGGAGTAGTTATGAGTTAAACGAAGGTGAGATGAAAGTCAGTGCTCTTAACATTAAACCTCATTTCACTAACTGAAGTCAATGACAATAAGTGGTGAAATACGCTGCCAGCTGCAGAGATACTAAAGATTATTGTGATCTCAGCTCCAACACACCACTACAGGAGTTCCTAAGGATTGTGTTCCAGGCTCAAATAATGGTAACTTACTTAATGATCCTTCCTCCATGATCAACTCAGAAGTGCTATGTTCGCTGATAGAAACATGGTTGCATTTTGTTCCCTCATTCAGGTCATTTATATATATTTTGGATAGCTGGGACCCAAGCACTGATCCTTACCGTACTTTACTAACAACCTCCTGCCGTTCAGAAAAAGACCCATTTATTCCCATTTATTCTCTGTGGGAAGGCAACCAAATGGGCAACAAATGGGCATTCACTCAGTGATGATCCAGAGGATGGTCATTGGCAATCAGGAAAATAGTGTTGGGGGAGAATGGGGATGGGGTTAGTGACCACAATTTTGGAAGGAGGATTCTCAGAGCCCCCTAAAAAACCTAGAAGAACTGCCCTTTCCTGTCCAGAATTTGCTTTCTAGGATTTCTGGTTGGCTATCTATCACTGCTCCCAGGCTGAGGTCTCTGACTATAGTTGCAGAAGGTTCCTATTGATAATATTCAAAGGAATAAGTAACAACATGAGGTGTAGAATGAATTGCAGTTTCGAAATTACTTGTTTTACTCAATCATGAGAATTTCAATTTGCCCTCAGGGCAATGAAATCTTGTACTCAACTCGATAGACCAACGAGCAGCAACAATATTATCTAGCAGCTGGGTAGCAAAACAGAATCCTTTTCTCTATGAAATACTTTGTTACTTTGAAAGGAAACTGTTTTTGCAGTTCCAATATGTTAAGAAATCAAAGTACGTTGAAATATCAGGAAGTAGATCGCCATTGTAATTAGTACAGAAATAGATAAACATCAATTTATTAGTTGATTTGATTTTGAAAGTCTAGGTTAGTTATTGCAGAATGCTTAAAATATTCATATTGCATAAATATTATTATATTAAATCCTAATATAAATGTACTAGGTATAAAAGTTTACAAATTTGTTACTTACAGACTGGAGTTAGGAAAATGACGATCAAAGAAATGAACAGAGTATGTTGTAATGCTTTCATCGTAACTTCTCTTGTGACTACAATTTCTCATTCAATTTGTAATAAACTCAAAGGGATGTGGTTTGTTCCCTTTGATGTCACCTCTAAGAAGCTGTAGCCTTTCTATTGTGGGACTATTAAATTTACAGCAAGCCACATGACAGCACCCAAAGCTGACCAGAGTATTGTAATAAATATTAAGACATAGGAAAGAGGAAATTGGGGTTTACTGCGGTTTCTGAATCTATCATTTTTATATGCAGCCTGAAATTTTCAATTAAATAATCTCATGTCGAACATGACATATTTGGCACTCTATTCTGTTTACATGTTATAAAATAATGAAGCAATCCATGCCAACATGCAGAAAGACCTGCACAACATCCAGTCTTGGGTTGATAAATGGCAAATAACATTTCACTACACAATGCCAGGCAATGGTCAACTTCAACAATACAGAATCAATACAGAATATATCGTCACTTTCAACAACATTACCATCACTGAATCCTCCATCATCTACATCCTAGGGGTTACTGTTGAACAAAAGAATTAACTGGAGCAGGCATATCAACACAATAGTTAAAAAAGCCAGTCAGAGGCTGGGAAATCTGTGGAGGGTAGGTCACCTTCTGATTTCTTAAAGTCTTTCACTGTGTCAGTGAGCAATGTGATGGAACACTCTGCATTTGCGTAGAGAATTCCAAAGATTCACCATGCTCTGAGAGCAGTCATTCCACCTCTTTTGTCTGAAATGATTTTCCCGTTATCCTGGGATTATGTCGCTGGTTTTAGATTTACCAGCCAGGGGAATCTACTACCTATAACCACCATGTAAGAATTTCCTAAGTTTTGAAGAAGCCAAAAGTCTAGGGAATACAGATCCAGTCTCCTCAATCTCTTTTCATAAAACAATCCCTGTGGGATTAATCTTGTGAACCTTCAATGTGGGAAATACTTACCATCCACGGTAGAAGAATTGCTGTGGAGAATGTGTCCATAAATACTGATTGACAGTTAACAGCCAGGCATTGTTAAGTTTTTAAGTTAAGTTTCTCATTGGTTAGGGCATTTTCCTGAGAAATAAGACTGTCACTTACTTTGTTGAGTTGAAGTAAATGCAGCATATGCAGATGACCTTTCTGCAAAGAACAGGGTCTTGTACATTAATATATGTAGCTTCCGGTACACACGTTCACCAAAATTATATTGCCTTTAAAGTTAATGCAAAATTCTTATGGTCATTATTTCCCAAAGGCTGCTGAACAGCAAGGTTATTAATTGGCACTTTCTCATCACACAACGTTAAATCAAAAATTGCCTGGTCCTTAGTTGGGTCTTCAATGTGCTACTTCTGCAACCCATCTTATATACACTCCAGGAA